CTAACTGGTCTGCAATTCTCTGTGTAGACTAGGCTACAGATCTCTCATAGAGATCTGCCTGCCTCTGCTTCCTAAATGCTGGGAGTAAAGATGTGCATCACCATGCCCTGACTCTGACAGTAATTTAAATTTTTATTTATTAATTTTTATTTTTATGTGTACAAGTGTTATGCTTGCATGTGTGTAAGTGCACCCATGTCATGCAGTGCCTGTGGAAGACAGAAGAGGGTGCTGGATCCCTGGTACTACAGTTATAGACAGTTGTTAGCCCTGCCATGTAGGTGCTGGGATTTGAACCCAGGTCTTCTGCAAGAGCAGCCAATGCTCTTAATCACTGAGCCATCTCTCCAGTCCCATCTAAAAGTATTTGCATCTCTAACAGATGCTGAGATGCAAACTGCCAATTTAAAGTTGGATTTTTTTGAGACATTATTGTTTTTTCATGTAGCCTAGGCTGGCATTGCACTTTCTATGTAGCTGGGGATAGCCCTGAACTTCTGATCCTCCTGCCTAGACCTCACAGTGCTGGGATCATAGGCGTGTACTAACATGCTTAGTTTTATGCAGTGCTGGGGATCAAACTTAGGGCTTCATGCTTGCTTGGCTAGTTCTTTACTAACTAAGCTACATTCCCAGCCCAAAAATTGGATCTTTCAAAGCACAGTGACACTCAGTGTTCTTGGTGCTTTTCCTTTCTTTGGGGTCCAATTCAACTTTGAAATGGCTGAGTCTTCTCTGAGAAGCATGAAAGATGAACGTGTGGTGGGAAAAACAGTCCAAATGGTGCAGCAGGACTTTACTTCTACAGCTGTCATGTCCCTCAAATTTGTTTCCCCGGTTCTACATAATCCCCAGACTCTCCAAGTAGAAACTGCAGGGGACGAGTCACATTTGAGGGGTTATGAGGAAGGGGAAAGAATCCTAGGTGGCTTAGTTCAGAAGAGATGACTACCCTTGTGTTAAGAAGTAGGAGGCATTAGAGTTCGGCAACCTTACCTTTTTATTGTTTTGGATTTATTTATTTTTGTTTTATGTGTATGAGTTTTTTTTGCCTACGTGTATGTAAGTGTACCTGTGTAGTGCAATGCCTGTGGAGGCCAGAAGAGGGCATCAGATCCCCTGGAACTAAAGTTACAGATGGTTGTGAGCTGCCATGTGGGTGCTGGAAGCCAAACATAGGTCTTCTGGAAGAGCAACCAGTCTTCCTAACAGCTAAGCTATTTTTCCAGCCCTGACTTAACCTTTCTTGATCTTTCTACTCCTTTTCTTCCCCAAGTGTCACCATACTTCCCAGATCTCTAATACATCACCCAGATAGGCTGAGTGCCTGTCATGGTTCCTCCCTGAAACTTTCTCCCCTTGACCTCTACGTCATCTTTAATTATTCCTTCTCTGTTTCCTTTGTGGACTCTCAGCTACTCTCAAATATCAGTGTCCCTTGGGGTTCTGAACCTGTTGTTCTTCCTAAACTCTCTCTAGACTGAAAATTGCCAATCCATATCTCCAACCCCAGTCCCTCTTTGGCTCTCTGTATACAACTGCCCACTAGGCACCCCCAGGCACTTCAAGTCCAGTGAAACTAAGTTTAGCATTCCTCCCTATCCCTCCCTGTACATGGCAAGCCTCTTTTGGAGCACCCAGCAGAGATTATCTTGGTGATGATCTCCAGTCATGTCATCCTGGATATGTGGGTGCTGCTGGCTGATGCAGCCAGTCTGGGCACAAACTGAGGCACATAACTGAGGTCACTGAGCACTAGGATCTCTGCCCTAAGGAAATTTAGGCATGGGTGACATCCCCAAGTATTGATGATGCTTACCAGCCTTTCTGTGATTTCAACATGAGGCTCATGCCTGTTTGCAGGGTTTGTAACCCCAGCATTATCTTCAACTCAAACCCTGCAAGTGGTTTGTCTAAGACTGAGCCCAGAAGTTGACAGCATGTGGGGAGGACGATATAGCCAAAATGTGTGAGGTTCTGAAAAAGACAGCAGAGAAGGAAGGGTCTGTTTGGCTTCCTTTGTCAAACATGTATGCGGACACAGGCCTTGCTTGAATAAGCAGGGTTACCTTACTTGAGAATGCCTTGGATTGCGAGAGACAGTTTTGCTGGCTTAGTGTACTTATGAAGACAGTCACAATATTATGCACCATCAAAACCCATTCCAGTTTGAATGATGCACTGAACACCGTTCTATTCACACAGTTCTTTAAGATGCACTGGGAGAAATACAAGTGTAGCTGCAGTTACTGTTTTCCTCTTCCTGGACCATCCTAAGAACATTTCACAGAACAGTTTGGTATGCCCTCACAAGAAGATCTATCAACAGACCCACAACACAAGGGAAGACAAACCCAGACCAAAGAAGGAAACGCAGACATTTGTTCTTTTGTAAGGTCTTGGGCAAAAGTTGAAGGCTCATTTCTCCAGGATACTGAGTACCAATGCTTCAGGGGAACCCCAGCTGTAGGATTGATGTCTCTGGGCAGCGAACCCGTGGTCTCCGGTACTGATTGTGGTTCTTCAGTTTAATACACCTGTTCATCTATAATTTGTGTACTACAAGGACAGCCAAGAATTTTCCTGGTTTCTCCTCTTAGTTCTTTTTTTTTTTTTTTAAATATTTTATTATTTTTATTGTATGTATTGCCTGCGTCATGCCGTGCTGCAGAGGTCAGAAGAGGGCTTCAGATTCCCCTGGAACTGGAGTTAAGATTCTCCTGGAACTGGAGTTAAGAACAGTTTGTAGCGGCCATGTGGGTGCTGGGAATTGAACCCGGGTCCTCTGCAAGAGCAGTCAGTGCTTTTAACTGCTGAGCTATCTCTCCAGCCCCTCTCCTCTTAGTCTTGAATAGGTCTATCAGTGTTTTTTACTGAAGACAATGGTTTGATCCCTGCAGACACCCTGATTTTAGAGAATCTTTTTTATATGATGAGCCTAGCAAAATGGGTACATGTTTCTTTATGAGAGAAATGTCTAGACAAATGTCTCATTTTCTGGATCATAAGGTGCTTAACTTTATTCCTGGAAGAGGGTAAATTCAGCAACCCAGGGCTTGTGCTTTCTCTCTCTCTCTATCTTCCTTATACTGGGGAATGAACCCTGAACCTTGCATATGCTAAGGAAGTGCTCTACCACTGAGCTACATCCACAGTCCTTCAGTCCTTTTTTTACTTTTTATTTTGAATTTTATTTTTTATTATTGTGTGTGTGTGGGGGGTAGGTGTGCACATGCCACAGAGTAGAGGTCAAGGACAACTTTTTAAAATATTTTACTTATTGTTTTTATTTTATGTGTATGAGTGTAGTGCCTGCATGTGTGTAAGTGCACCCATGTCACGTAATGCCCGTCGAGGTCAGAAGAGGATGTTGGAGTCCCCTGGACGTGGAGTGGGATGGTTGTTAGTGGCCATGTGGGTGCTGGGAATTGAACCTGTGTCCTCTGCCAGTGCTCTTAACTGCTGAACCATCTCTCCAGCCCCAAGGACAAACTTTTGAGAGCTGGTTCTCTTCTTTTACTGTGAGATTTGGGAACTGAACTCAGGGGACAAACTCCTTTATTCACTGAGTCATCTTGCTGGCCCACTCCTTCTTTTGAAACACAGTCTCTGTTACTCTGGCTGGCCTTATGTAACCCTACAGCTCAGGCAGGCCCTGACTTGTGACCCTCTTGTTTCAGCTTCCTGAGTCGCTAGCATTATAAATCTAATGCCATATGGTCAAGTCCTGGGGCTTTAAATGAAACCCATGGGGGCCTTGACACATAGGGTGAAAGATATGACCAGCTGTATCAGCTATATCTATGGATACTCTGAGATGACTGGGGCAGCTGCTTAGCAAACCCTCCAGCACTTGTTTCCAATTAACACACCCAGCATTCCCTCTGAGAAAACTGTACATGGCAGGAGACAGTCAAAAGGTATAAGCAGACATAGTCAAACAACATGCACAGTTACACTTAAGTGTGTATCAGAGATCTGACTGTGGCTTATTTCCCAAGCGTGATTCAATAATCGAGAACAAGGTATAACATCAGTCCTCGATTCCCTTTGGGCTTAGAAATACAGCAAACAAGTCATAAAATTATACTAATTTTTTTAAAAAACCCCAACAAAATAGAAGGGTTTTCTTTGAGGATCTCATCCCTCCCTTGCCCCTCCTGTTTCTCGAACATAGTTGTTCTGGAGGATTCTTCGTGTAGTCCCAAAGAAAGTACCATGGAGCTGGCATATCCTTGGGGAAGAAAATGTAACCTTCAAGTCCAGCTCTGCTTTTTGCTCTTTCCTGGGCCACAGGAACAGCAGTAGGTCTTCACTGGGTTTCTGGGCAGGCAGCTCTGCAGAAATGGGAGCAGTGGGGCATTGATAACCACCCCAGCCAGAGGCAGCTTTCTGTGGCCAGAGTCTGTGTCTGTCATACTGAAAGGTAGAAGCACAAAAACAGGCCCATTTGGGGGACTGATGCTTCTGGGTTGGCAGGATGCTTTCTCATGGGTAGTACGAAGATGGGAGAAGCTGGAGGGGACAAGAACTGGGGCGGGAGTTAACCTTTATTGAGTGTCTGTCTTATGCTGGGTGCTGCTAAAGGCTCTTGGTCTTAGAAGATCTCCCACGACATCCTGGTGACATATTCTCCCTTTGGAGTTGAACTTGAAGCCAACCTGGTCTGTCTAGACCCAGAGGTCAGCTGGTACTCGAAGGGCAGGCCCACACTTGCCTTTCTTAGTCTAGTGTCCAAGATATGTCCCCTACATTCTGCCATAGGTATGCGCAAATTTAAAGACGCTCCCTCTTTTCCCTAGGGAGCCCAAGTTTATCTCAGGTCTGATCTCAGATTAGGTCTCCGCGGTCCCACCCGCCTAAGAGGGAAACCCAGAAAGTCTCCCAGCAAGTACAGGCCTTTGCAGGGAGGTGGCCCCTGGGCGCACAGTGGGGCTGCAGCTCGGGCAGCAGGGCTCCGGGTAAGGGCAGAGGGGGAGGGCGCCGGGTTCGGCGCGCGGTGACATCAGCCCTGCTGTGGTGCAGTGTGCAAAGCCTACTGGTTGGCGTGATGGGGGATACGCCTTCCCCAGCGGAACAAAACGGCGTGCAGGCGGGTGCAGTCTGCCACCGCTTTCGAGAGCGCCGTTGCCCGCCGCCCTGCAGCTGCCAGGTGAGTGCCAGCTGTCGCCCACCTGGGGTCCCCGCGGTGGCCGTTGCACACGCGCCTGGCACGCACCCCGCGCCTCTTGGGCTTTCCCGCCCCGCCGCCTGGCATGCACCCCGCGCCGCTTGCGCTTACCCGCCCCGCCGTTTCCCTGTCCCTTGCAAAGAAAGTTTGGAAGAAAAGTGACGCTTAGGGGGAAGGCCGGGAGAAGTGGCCGGTTAGCCTCGGCGTTGCTTCCCTTCCCAGTACGCTCTGGTTCCCTCCGGTCCCGGGGCTTCCTGGGCAGTTGGCTTCCGCATGCGCCTGACACAGGGCGACCCGACACCCCCCCCCACCGCCTGTAGGTCGGGCGGAACAATAGGCAATTCTGTGGGCCACTGACTCTCATTGTAAGGCAGTGGAAGGAGGGGCAGTTGGCTTCCGCATGCGCCTGACACAGGGCGACCCGACACCCCCCCCACCGCCTGTAGGTCGGGCGGAACAATAGGCAATTCTGTGGCATCCGTGCCACCCTTCCCCCACTTTTCTTTCCTTGGAGAAAGTGCCCGGGAGTGGGAGGGGGAAACATCTGGCTTGGTGGCTCCAGAGCACAGGTGTGAGTTTTCTTTTTCCTCACAGCACTACATGGAAGACATTACATGACCCCCTACCCCACCCCACAATCTTGGTGCTAGGTGGGGATTGGTTACTGAGACCTGAAAGAGCCGACAGTGACGGTTTTGGGGAAGCTGGGGAGCAGAAGGGCTCTGACAGTGAGAACATTTAGGCAAGTTGCAGTGTCACCCAACAAGCTGGCAGGTGTTTCATCGGAAGGGCCCAGGCCTGGGTACATTCTGTGTGTTCCTGGGCCTTTGCTGTTATGATTCAGTCAGGGTCCCAGCTACCTTGGAAGCAATGTGTGTGTCAGGACTTCCTTCTGCTTAGTTCTTCCATCATCCACTTACTCCCGCCTCTTGGAGTGAATGAGTGGACAAGCCCTCCCCATGCTGAAAGGGCATCACTGTCACAGGACATGGAGGGAGTCCACCCTGCTCTGGAGAGCATTTATCAGAAGTACCCTGGAATCTTGGTGAGAGCAAGCCTGAAAGGCAGGCAGGCTTGAGTTTTGACTCTTGGATTTATCACTAAATATACCTGTGATCTTGAACAAGCAACAACTTAGTTTCCTTCAGGGCCGGTACTTGAAGCATGTATTCACAGAACCCCCAGCACACATACTGAGGTCCTGCCTTCCTTGTACTTCAGGGTCTTTCCTTGCAGAAGCTAAGGAGCTGCAAGCAGCCTGTCACCTCAGAGCTGGGGACAGGTGCTGAGCTTCCTCTGTGCCTTCTGATTCTCTAGCCTGTCCCCTACTTAGGAAGCCAGGCCATTCTTTAGGAGAGAGCCAGTCCTGAACATTTCCTAGGCAGCTTTATCCCTCTCCTGTGGAGTCCAGCCTGGCACTGCAGAACCTCCCTTGAGGGACCCTTTGCCTTGGCAAGGATATCCGGGGTGGGAACAGCCAGACGGGAAAGGAAGTTTATCCTGCAGAGGGTGTGGTGTGGGCCTGAGAAGGGAGAGGGGAGAACTATCCCTAAGGACTCGATGCTAAGGAGGGTCTGGGAGGATGCTGGAGAGAATCTGAAGGGTAGGCCCTGAAGCACTGAGACCTGCTGACCTGCTTAAGATGTGAAAAACCGCCTCTAGTCTGTCCTGGCACCTGTCTTCCTGGTCCAGGTGTTCTTTTATGTAATTCACAGCCTCTGGAGCCAACCGGTCCTTACTGAGTCAGAGGTGCAGGCTGAGGGTAATGCGTGCACTTGATTGATGATAGGTAAACACCGAGTGACCGAAGTTGGGTTTGGTGGTGCATGTAGGTGGTGGCTGGAGGACAACAAGTTTGAGGCCAGCCTGGGTTCTGCCTCAAAAAAAAAAAAAAAAAAAAAAAAGCAACAATCAACAATCAAACACTGGGTAAGGTGAGGGGAAAGGCAGAGTTTCTATTCCCTATGTGTCTATGGTGGTGAAAACTATCTGAAAAAACTTTCTGGTGGGCTCCTGAGGTTTATGTATGTAAGTAGAGCTCATCATGAGAAACTGGCTGCCAGAAGCCTAAAGGAGGCATGCTTTTTTGAATTTTGAAATCCAAAGAAATACTAGTGACAAAAAGACCTTTTCCTCCAAATCAACTGTTTGCCATTATGCAGACATATTGGCAAATTCTTAGAGACACAAAATAGAGCACTAAGTGTTTGTATTGGCCTTTCCTTAAGATAATAGTATTCAAATACCCACATGTGCTGTGTGCCAGCCAGTACTAAATGCTACACCTATATTCCCTTGGACAATTTATGAGAAAGGGGTTGATGTGGCTGTTTTACAGAGGCTCAGAGGTGCTAAGGAACTTCCTTAAGCTCACAGCTGGTTCTGGTGGAGCTGATGTTCAAATGCGGGCTGGCTGTTCCTACTACCTGCTGTTTCTCTTTGCCCCTTCACATTTCCTCTTTCTGAGCTGATTGACTAAGGAAATGGTGGCCATTTGTGAAGACATTAGTTTTACAAGATGCTCTGTGGTAGAAGATATGAGCAGATACGGCTTTCATGGCTTTAGCATGGGTGGAGTCACCTCTATGTTTTCACTCTACTGAGTGACGGAGGGGACAGGGAGCCCTAGAAATCACTTCTCATATGCACACTCATCCTATCTGATACATGTTTGCATTTTGGGGTATGTTTTCAGGAAAGGAAAAAAAGAGAAAAACCTGAAAATGAGCCTGCAAGAGCCCCCCCCCCCCCCCACCAGCTGCTGCTCGAGGAGGGGGAGTTCTGAAGGGAGCCTGTCTGATGTTTCCAGTTGTCAGGAATTTATATGGTAATGACGTGGCTTAGACTACGCAGCTCCCCAGGAATTTGTCTGACGTGAGCGTTGAGTAATTTCCATGTATGGTAAAGTGTGTAAATAGGAGGCAGCTAGTGTTTCCAGACTCTGGCATTTCCAGTGCTTCCCAAAGGCCAGAAGGCAGCGTCAGACTCCTGCCCAGACAAACGAGGAAGAAACAGAAGGTTCTAAGCTGGAGCAGAGCCCAGCCAAGCAGTCAAGGAGGTCCCCACCCCAGGGGGGTCTGGGGTGTGTGGGATGGAGCTCCCTGAGACTCTAGCTGCAAGCAACATGTGTTTAAGGGCCTAAGGGCTCATTTGTTTTTATTTTGTAAAAATTGATCAGAATCGCTCAGACCTTTCTGTTCAACACACAAGACAACCAACTGATACCAACCACTCTCTTTCTAGACAAAATTCAATCTGATGAGGACCTAATTATAAGACTTCTTGTACTGGTTTTGAAATGCTTAAAAGAAGTCATAAGACTGAATGTAGCCCAGCAATAGAGTACACACCTAGTCCTGGATCCCCATTTTCACCTCCACTTGATATCAGGATAGGGAACTCTGCTATAAAAGGCATTAGGGATGTTGATGCAAAAGCACAGCTCTCACTTCAAAGGGGATAGGAGAGATGGTTTATATTGGAGCCAAATATGAGTGATCACAGCCCAGGAACACAGATTCAGGTTACTCCAAATTCTGTGTTTTGGATGTGGTAACAGTTTCATGAAGTTTACAGCAACAGAACAAAGAAAGCCATAAATCAAGACACTTCAAATACATAGTGGAGACAGCATCCTTAGCCCTTGGGTTGGTGGAAACTGATGATATGCTAAGTTAGTACATTCCAAAAGGTTTTTATCTGTTAGTCACAGGATATTGTCAAACACAGAGGTGAGCAAGGAATGGCTACTTAGGGGACTAAAGATAACCCATGGTAAATTGTAAATAGGCTCTGGACCTGGAACATTTCAAACTCCACAGTCATTGAAGTTCTGATCAGTTGATCAGCCTTGCAGAAGGTTCAGTTGAAGATGCAGGGTTTTTTTTTTTTTTCTGGAACTTACATTTACAGGGGACAAAAAGGGAAAGAAGAAGTAAAAGCATTACCCTTGTTAGCTCACAGTCCCATAAGGGTCCTGGGGCATGTGTTTGAAAGATTATGGGGGAGGGGCACGGGACAGTGTCCAACTCAGTGAGACCTCAGGGACTTGGGACCTGGAGTAATGACAGCTCAGTGACATTGGCTGACTTCTCAGAGATGAGCCACATGCAAGGTTCTAATGAATCATTTGGGGGACCTGTAAAACTGAGGTCAAGCTCACTCTGTTGGGCACTCTTTCCCTACCAGGGACCATTATCTTTAGAAGAGATCTATTTCTTGGACTCTCAGGTGTAACCTTCAAGATGCAGACTCTATGGGGCTCTGAACCAGCAGCTGCCCTCCCTGTTTCTGTCCTTGGATGTTCTCTGGGCTTGGGGGCTTGGAAGAAGAGACTGAGCTGCAGGGTTGGAAAGGATGATAGCACTCCTCTATACTTGGTGAATACCAAACAGCTCCTGAACAGCACATTTCAAACTAGATACACAGGTCTCTACCGCACCAAGAGGGTGGGGACTTAAGCCCTGAGCCCAACAGTTACTCTCTGGCCCTAGGGAACAAGGGATTATAGAATGGGAAAGCTGGGATTTTTCCACTGGAGAAAGAAGATGTGGGGTGGCTTGTCAGGTGCTTGATAAGAGGCCCTCCTTTGGGTATAGTGGCTGGCAGGATTATACATCCCTGGATAGTTCCTTAGGACTGAGAAACATAACCTGCTGAATCTGTCATCTCTGTCAACTTTCATGAGGTTTAGGATGGGCATGAGACTCTGTGCCCCATGTCCACTCTCCCCTTGGCTGCTGTAAGGGTCACTGTCTTTCTTCCTTTTAAGACTGAGGTTCTAGGTAAAGCTGTGAATGAGTCAACTAGTCAGAGCAGCAGACTTGAGCTGGTTGCTTATCTGAAGAGGCCAGTCCTTACCTTCTAGCTTCTAGCTAGCCCCAAGGATCCTGACATTTCAAGTAAACAGCTGATGGAATATGTCTAGCCATTCAGCAGAAAATTCAAACTTTATTCTCTGTTGAGATCCTCAAGACAGTTAT